TTGCGCTCTGTTAGTTTGTTTATTGTTTTACGCATGTTGCGTAATTCCCTCGCCTCCATTTGTTTTCGAGGTCGTGTATTGTTTTGTTGCACTTTGGACTAGTAAAGTCTTTTGGACGAATCCTCTGTGTCCTGCGCCTGACTCCTCCACCACATCCACATCGGTTCTTTTGACAGAACAACACACCCAACTATGGAGTCAGCTGGAGCAGCGGCGGCACCCAAGTCGCTGGAAGAACGGATCAGCTATCAAGACACCATGATCCGGCAACTTGGGGCCGCCATGGACGAGGTGTCCAACACTCTGCGCCGGTTGGTGACTGGAGAGGTGCCCACGCCTTCTTACTCCATCCCATCACCAACGGCCAGTCCTCCTCTCTCAGCACCGGCACCCAGTGGCATTCGGCTCTCGCTCCCGAGGGCATATGACGGTTCTGCAGCCGGGTGTCAGGGGTTCCGCCTGCAGGTGGAACTCTACCTGGCTACCATACACCCAGCGCCCTCAGGATACGAGAGCGTCTCCGCCCTCATCTCCTGTCTATCCGGCAAGGCCAAGTGGGCCAACGCCGAATGGAGGGGAATAGACGCCGCTACCATCACCTACGCGGAGTTCTCCCGCCGCTTCAGGGCTGTCTTCGATCACCCACCTGAAGGGAAAGCGGCGGGGGGGCGTCTGTTCCACCTCCGACAGGGGAAGAGGAGCGCACAGGAGTTCGCACTGGAGTTCCGGACGCTAGCGGCGGATGCGGGGTGGAATGAGAGGGCCCTCATCGACCATTACCGGTACAGCCTACGAGAGGATGTTCGTCGTGAGCTGGCCTGCAGGGACACCAACCTATCATTCGACCAGTTGGTGGACATCTCCATACGTCTCGACACCCTGCTGGCCACCCGCGGACGTCCCGAGTGGGGGCCGACCATTCCACCCTCCAGCACCTCCGAGCCGATTCCCATGGAGCTCGGGGGTGCTGGCGCTAGAGAGAGGAGGAGAGAGAACCCGAGGGGGGCCACCCCCTGCACCAACTGTGGCCGTGGAGGACACACCGCGGCCAGGTGCTGGGGAGGGTCTCCTGGGAGAGGGGACAACAGGTCACGCACTGGGGAGTCATTTCAGGTGAGTAGGCGCCCCACTTACCCAGAGCTTTCTGTTGGTCACATGAGTATTCCTGTGAGATTTCCACAGGTGGCACCTCATTCCCAGCATAAGGCGCTAGTAGATTCAGGCGCAGCTGGGAATTTTATTGATCGGGCATTTTGTTATAGGTTTGGAATTCCCCTTCGGCCGGTAGAAGCCCCCTTTCCTGTCCACGCCTTAGACAGCCGGCCGTTGGGGTCGGGGCTGATCAGAGAAGTCACAGCACCACTTACTATGGCGACGCAGGGGGGTCATGAGGAGATCATTCAGTTTTATCTGATTGACTCTCCTGCGTACCCCGTGGTGTTGGGGCTTCCCTGGTTAAGCACCCATGATCCTACCATTGCGTGGCAACAGAGGGCTCTTATGGAGTGGTCTGCCCAGTGTGTAGGGAGATGTCTAGGTGTTTCCTTAGGGGCGACCTCGGTTGAGAGTCCGAACCAAGTGCCCGCAATGCGCATTCCCCCTGAGTATGAGGACTTAGCACTCGTGTTCAGCAAAACGAGGGCAACACGGCTACCACCTCATAGACAGGGGGACTGTGCGATAAATCTCCAAACAGGAGCGGCTCTTCCGCGGAGCCGTGTGTATCCCCTGTCTCAAGAGGAGACAGCGGCTATGGAGACTTACATAGCCGAGTCCTTGGCACAGGGATACATACGGTCCTCCACTTCCCCGGTTTCCTCAAGTTTCTTCTTTGTGAAGAAGAAGGACGGGGGTTTGCACCCGTGTATTGATTACCGTAGTCTCAATCAGATCACGGTTAAGTACAGTTACCCTCTTCCACTGATTGCGACTATGACGGAGTCATTACGCGGAGCGCAGTTCTTCACAAAGTTGGATCTCAGGAGCGCGTACAATCTGGTGCGCATTAGGGAGGGGGATGAATGGAAAACGGCATTTAGCACCACCTCGGGTCATTACGAGTATCTCGTCATGCCATACGGGCTAATGAATGCTCCTTCAGTCTTCCAATCCTTTGTTGACGAGATTTTCCGGGACATGCATGGGCAGGGTGTGGTAGTGTACATCAACGACATCCTAGTGTACTCTTCTACACGAGCCGAGCATGTAGCCCTGGTGCGCCGAGTGTTGAGAAGACTGTTGGAGCATGACTTGTATGTCAAGGCAGAGAAATGCCTGTTCTTCCAGGAGTCCGTCTCCTTTTTGGGTTATCGGTTGTCCGCCTCTGGTGTGGAGATAGAGGTAGACCGTGTGTCGGCCGTGCGTAATTGGCAAACTCCAACCACTGTAAAAGAGGTGCAGCAGTTCTTGGGTTTTGCTAATTACTACCGGAGGTTTATTCGGGGCTTTGGACAGGTTGCAGCGCCCATTACGTCCCTGTTAAAGGGGGGTCCGGTTCATCTGCAGTGGTCAGCTGAGGCGGACAGGGCATTTGTCAAACTGAAGAACCTGTTCGCCTCGGCCCCGGTGCTGGCGCATCCGGATCCCTCTTTACCATTCCAAGTAGAGGTAGACGCGTCCGAGACCGGTATTGGGGCAGTCCTGTCACAACGGTCCGGCACGCCACCTAAGCGCAATTATGACGTTGGGGACAGGGAGCTGTTAGCTGTAGTCCAGGCCCTAAAGGTGTGGAGGCATTGGCTTGAGGGGGCTCAACACCCTTTCCTCATTCTGACTGATCATCGTAACCTGGAGTACATCCGGGCAGCTAGGAGATTGAACCCTCGTCAGGCTAGGTGGAACATGTTCCTGACCCGGTTTGTTTTTAAGATCACATACATCCCAGGGTCCCAGAACGGTAAGGCAGACGCCCTGTCCCGGCGGTATGACACAGAGGAGAGGTCCATTGAGCCCACTTCCATACTGCCGGAGTCTTGTCTGGTGGCTCCGGTGGTATGGGAGGTCGATGCGGAAATCGAGCGGGCACTGCGTGCCGACCCTACTCCCCCAGAGTGTCCTGTGGGGCGGAAGTACGTTCCGCTCGAGGTTCGTGATCGTCTTATTTATTGGGCTCATACATCACCCTCCTCTGGACATCCAGGTATTGGCCGGACAGTGCACTGCCTTAGTGTGAAATACTGGTGGCCAACGTTAGCTAAGGATGTGAGGGTTTATGTCTCCTCCTGCTCGGTGTGCGCCCAGTGTAAGGCGCCTAGACATTTGCCCAGGGGTAAGTTACATCCCCTGCCCGTTCCACAACGACCATGGTCCCACCTCTCGGTGGATTTTGTGACCGACCTACCCCCTTCCCAGGGGAATACCACCATTTTGGTCGTTGTGGATCAGTTTTCCAAGGCCTTTCGTCTCCTCCCAATGCCGGGTCTCCCTACTGCCCTACAGACCGCCGAGGCCCTATTTACCCACGTGTTCCGGCACTATGGGGTCCCCGAGGATATTGTGTCTGACCGAGGTCCCCAGTTTACCTCCAGAGTCTGGGGGGCGTTCATGGAACGCTTGGGGGTCTCCGTGAGCCTTACCTCGGGGTACCACCCAGAGAGCAATGGGCAGGTTGAACGAGTCAACCAGGATGTGGGTAGGTTTTTGAGGTCCTATTGCCGGGACCGGCCGGAGGAGTGGTCCAGGTATATCCCCTGGGCAGAGATGGCCCAGAACTCTCTCCGCCACTCCTCCACCGGTTTAACACCTTTCCAGTGTGTTTTAGGGTATCAGCCGGTCCTGGCACCGTGGCACGAGAGCCAGATCGAGGCCCCTGCGGTGGACGAGTGGATTCGGCGCTCGGAGGAGACGTGGGACGCTGCCCATGTCCATCTGCAGCGGGCCATCCGTCAACAAAAGGCGAGCGCCGATCGCCACCGCAGTGAGGGACCGGTGTACGCACCGGGAGATCGAGTCTGGCTCTCGACTCGAAACCTGCCCCTCCGCCTGCCCTGCCGGAAGCTGGGTCGGCGGTTTGTGGGGCCCTTCAAAGTCCTGAGAAGATTGAACGAGGTGTGTTACAGCTTACAACTGCCTATTGAGTACAAAAATATTGACCCCTCGTTCCATGTGTCTCTTCTCAGGCCGGTGGTAGCTGGCCCACTCCAAGAAGATGAGATAGGAGAGACCCCTCCGCCCCCTTTGGACATCGAGGGGGCCCCGGCGTACAGGGTCCGGTCCATCTTGGACTCGAGGCGCCGGATGAGTGGTCTCCAGTATCTCGTGGAGTGGGAGGGGTACGGTCCGGAGGAACGGTGCTGGGTGCCTAGGAGGGACATCCTCGATCCATCCCTCCTGACTGAGTTCCACCGTGGGCATCCCACGCGCCCGGGTCCGCGTCCTCCTGGCCGTCCCCGAGGCCGGGGTCGGCGCACGGCTGGAGCCGCGCGTCAAGGGGGGGGGGGGGGTACTGTCACGGTTTCGGCCGAGGCTGCTCCTTCTCCTTGTTCGGGCAGGCTTCGGCGGTCGTCGTCTCCGGAGTACTAGCTGCCACCGTTCTATGTTTCTATGTTTGATTGGTTTTGTCTGTTTTGTTACACCTGTTCCTTGTTAGTGTTCATTATGCGTCCTATTTAGTTCTCTTGAGTTTGGTCAGGTGTTGTGTGTAATTGTTCGATGTCACGTGTTGTGTTAGTTCGTTGTTCTGTTCTCTCTATATTGTTTTGTTAGAGAGAGTCCCGCACTTTGTGCGCATTTATTTTGTACTTACCATTGTGCGTAAAGTTCGCCTGTGGCCTGTTGCCGTGGTTGGCTTGTTCCTTGGACTTCACTAAAGACATCTGTTCGAACCTCTGTGTGTCCTGCGTGTGATTCTACGTTACCTCTACACTCAACCCTGACACATATAAATTATTAGGCATAAGTATAAACGATGAGTAGTTGGATTTTGCTGTTTTTCCCTCGACGCTGAAGCAAACAACTGATTGCACAACGGTGTCATCACACCAACCGCACGGGTCTGAATCTCACACCTCCTTGGCCCATTTCTTGACAAGAGCTCTACACTGGTAGTTGGAGAGCAGACATGCCACAGTGAAGAGCTGGTTGATGCTTCCTGCAATAGCTAGGGGAATGTTGGTGTTGAACAACTTGTTCTCCTTCACCCTCCGAATCACCCGCTCCATATGGATCCTCAGGCGTGCGATCTCTTGTGTCTGATGTACTTCTGCTGTTGGCATTTGGCTCTATTTTGAGAGTAATGGGGTACGGTAGACCTTCACTGGTACATGGTCATCGATGAGGAACCCTTTGTTGGCCATTACTGCCATGTCCTCGGTGAGAAGGTGTTGGATGCCAGACTGTATGAACATGTATTTGTCACTGATGGGGCCTTTGTACAGTGAGGACACAAAGGTGATCGGTCCATGAGGAGCTATTCCCACTAATGCCTTCATTGTGCAGTGGGATTTGTAGTTGGAGAACATCTCACTCTGCAGCAGAAAAGAGGATGGTGTCTGACACCTAAGCTCGGTGCAGTCAACAATGACATGCGTGTCTGCGTAGATTTTAAATTCCATCGGCAAGTTGGCCTTCACTTCCTCTTGTGACATCGATGTTACAGAGATGAAAAATATTCCTGGACTGGTTGATGCACGTCGAATGAATCGTGTGGTGAATGAAGAAAAAGTGAAGAGTCTATCTGTTCTTTTGTTTTTTGAAATTGAGTCTCTCCCTACTCAAGTGCAGTTTGGGTATATCAACTACAGAGTCAGAGCATTTATCCAAAGCTTTTGGACGTTTCAAGTGTTTGCAGAAGGGAGAAGCCGAGATGTCCAAGTTGTGGTAAAGATCATATCATTTGTTTTAAAAGTGATGTTGCAATTGTAGTACCTTCTTCTTCTTCTTCTTCTTCTTCTTCTTCTTCTTCTTCTTCTTCTTCTTCTTCTTCTTCTTCTTCTTCTTCTGTGGGTTTTATGGCGCACTACAACTCAAAAAGGCAATGGGGTTGAAAAAACAAGGTAAAAAGAAAATCCATGCATGATAGGTAAAACTAACTTAATTCACAATAGGACATTGACAAAAACAAAACTCCCACTTCTTCCTTCTTTAAAATCTCCATATTTCCCTTCTCAGGTTCTAGGGCCTGAGAGGGTGGTACGGCTTGTGACAATACTCCATGCAACTCCTCCGCCGAGAAGTCTTTCATTCCTATCCACCACCATGGACTTTTCAGGAGCACCATTCGAACCCTCAACCCATTTAACAGCCGCTGCATATGAAATGCTCTGAACAGCCCTGACTTTGGCCACGTCAATCTCTTTGACACCTTTTCCAGTTGTAGTCCGCCATAAAACCCACAGAAGAAGAAGAAGAAGAAGAAGAAGAAGAAGAAGAAGAAGAAGAAGAAGAAGAAGAAGAAGAAGGTAGTATGACTATTTGGTGGAGTACGGTATTTTCATACCACGTTTATTAGTGAGCTCTAAAGTTATCAAATATCATACTGATGTTACATTTGCATCAAAGCCAACCTGTTTTCTACATTGTTGCCATCAAGGTAAACTCAAGAACATGGCAGAAAGTGACTGGGATACAGTGACCGTATTGAGAAAGAAGGGACCAACTACTGCACAGTCCAAGTTGAAACAGGTAGCCAGCTAGCTTGCTAACATTAGCTAGTTTTAAACTAGCTCAGTCTGGCTAGCCAGCTTCTGAACTCGTTTGTTTGTCATTGTCAGTGAACTGGGAGATAGCTAGCTGGCTTGGCTATGTTATCTTGCAAACTATTTAGCATGCCATGAATAATTTTCAGACTTAAGCTAGCTAGCTGTCTACCCTGCTAGCTTATTTGCATTCGAGCTTGTAACAGCCGATGTTAGCCAGCAATGGTTCCGAATACTGAGGGTGGCCCTTTTGTTTGTCTTGTATCTTAGAATACATTTAGATTGTGCTGCATTAGCATGATATTCCCAAGAATTAGATTTTGTTGAGTTTGTGTTAGCCTATTTACCTCTCTATCCTTATCTCCCTCTCTCAGGTGCTGCAGGACAAATGATCACCAAGAATACAGCCAAGCTTGACAGAGAGACTGAAGAGCTTCATCACCAAAGAGTATCGCTGGATGTGGGCAAGGTCATCTAGCTAGGCCGGCAAAATCAGGGCCTGACACAGAAGAACCTGGCCACTGTGAGTACACTCTCCCAAACATGCATGAATAAATACAAATATAGGAAATCAAATTCATTTTCTATACCAGTCATGGATAGGTTGTTGGTCTATTTTTGTAGAAAATCATTGAAAAACCACAGATAATTGGAGACTACGAATCTGGAAAGGGTATCCCCAATAAACAAGTCATGGGAAAGATTGAAAGAGCAATTGGTGAGTGTTTTTATTTAGTTTATTTTTCTGGCATACTCTAACATTGTACACTGAGCAAAAATATAAACACAACATGTGAAGTGTTGTTCCCATGTTTCCTGAGCTGAAATTAAAGATCCCAGAAATGTTCCATATGCACAGAAAGCTTATTTCTCTCAAATGTAGTGCACACATTTCTTTACATCCCTGTTAGTGACCATTTCTCCTTTGCCAATCTAATCCATACACCTGACAGGTGTGGCATATCAAGAAGCTGATTAAACAGCATGATCATTACACAGGTGCATCTTGTGCTGGGGACAATAAAAGGCCACTCTAAGTTTTGTCACACAACACAATGTCACAGATGTCTCAAGTTTTGAGGGAGTGTGAAAATTTGCATACTGACTGCAGGAATGTCCAACAGAGCTGTTGCCAGATAATTGAATGTTCATTTCTCTACCATAAGCCGCTTCCAATTTCGTTTTAGAGAATTTGGCAGTACGTAAAAATGTGTAACCACGCCAACCCAGGACCTCCTCATCTGGCTTCTTCACCTGTGGGATCGTCTGAGACCAGCCACCCGAACAGCTGATGAAATTGTGGGTTTGCACAACCAAAAAATGTCTGCACAAACCGTCAGAAACTGTCTCAGCGCAGCTCATCTGCTTGCTCGTCGTCCTCACCAGGGTTTTGACCTGACTGCAGTTTGGCGTCATAACCGACTTCAGTGGGCAATGCTCACCTTCGATGACCACTTGCACGCTGGAGAAGTGTGCTCTTCACAGATGAATCCTGGTTTAATCTGTACTGGGCAGATGTCAGACAGCGTGTTTGGTATCGTGTTGGTGTGCGGTTTGCTTATGTCAATGGCAGGTAGCTTAGTGGTTAAGAGCGTTGTGCCAGTAACCGAAACGTCGCTGGTTCTAATCCCTGAGCCGACTAGGTGCCTTGAGCAAGGCACTTAACCCTAATTGCTCCTGTAAATCGCTCTGGATAAGAGCGTCTGCTAAATTACAATACATTTAAAAAAATGGATTCATCCAGATTCACCCCATGGGGGTGGTGGGCAGGCATAATTATAGACAATGAACACAATTGCATTTTATCTATGACATTTTGAATGCACATAGAAACGCCGCCATCACCTCATGTTTCAGCATGATAAAGCACGGCCCCATGTTGTAAAGATCTGTACACAATTCCTGGAAGCTGAAAATGTCCCACTTCTTCCATGGCCTGCATACTCGCCAGACATGTCACCCATTGAGCATGTTTGGAATGCTCTGGGTCAATGTGTACGACAGCGTGGTCCAGTTCCTGCCAATATCCAGCAACTTCGCACAGCCATTGAAGAGGAGTGGGACAACATTCCACAGGCCACAATCAACAGCCTGATTAACTCTATGCGAAAGAGATGTGTCGCGCTGCATGAGGCAATTGTTGGTCACACCAGATACTGACTGGTTTTCTGATCCAATCCCCTACTTTTTTTTAAAAAGTAATCTGTGACCAACAGATGCATATATGTATTCCCAGTCATGTGAAATCCATAGATTAGGGCCTAATTTATTTATTTCAATTGACTGATTTCCTTGTATGAACTGTAACTCAGTAAAATCTTTTAATATTTTTGTTCAGTGTACATTTTCTGGCATATATTAATATTCTGTGATGGCTCATCTATGTGTAGAGCTTCATATGTATTTGTGGTTGTCAAATCACCCTTCTTGCAGCATGGGCCTGTTTTACACCATTATTGGGTTCTTTTTTTTACAAACTAGTCATCATTACAATCATATCAGTATTACTAATGGAACAATAAAGCCCAGGTGTTTATTATAGATGGTGTCAACAGAAATGTGAGCATTTTCCCTTCATGATATCCTTAGGACTGAAGTTGCGTGGGAAGGACATTGGGAAATCCTTGGAGGCAATTCCAAAGAAAAAGTGAAAGCAATGCCTCGAAGCAGCTTAACCTACATACTACCACCACGGCTGACGGCCTCGTAACTTCTCTGGAGAGCTAGCACACCTTAACCAGTTTAAGCTACTTTCTTTTCCCCAATGCTGGACCTTGTGTCTCTTTTACTGCCCTGATTCCGTTAATGAATGTCAAGCTTGTGGGATCTGATTTAAGCATCAACTGAATACATTGTATTACAAGATTGAAATATACTGTGGTTTTGTTTTGCATCTTCATTTCAGCAAACTACAGGAAAAGAAAATATGTATTACGGAATGGTTTCAATGTCTATACTATATACTCCCTGAGGTCTGTCTCCATGCACGTTCTGCGGTTATTCCCTTTCAACTAAACATAAATTTGGCATTTTGGCTCTAAAAGGTTTTATTGTAGCATATGCTTTTTAAACATTTATGCAAGAATGCTGCTTTCATGAGCTGGTCTCCCAAAAAAGGGATGATTAAATCTCAAGGGACTAAAAAAGTACAAGTATACAAACATTTTTTGGGGGGTTTTCTTGTGTTTGTACAATATATATTTTGACTTTGTTGCTGTGGTAACTAGTGGAAACCATAGGCAACAGTACTGTCAAAGACGGTAGAGGAAGTGACACTGACATTTCCTGCTTGCTAACTGGTTAAACGCGGCATGTGTATAACTACAACCAGTTAGCAAGTCGAACATTTCCGAGTTGTGACTTGCACGTGAAAGTGGCATTAACATACAAATAAGCAGTTATGTTTATGTACTAATAGCACAAACTCATGGCGCATCAAACTCAGTCAATGCCACGCCCCTTCTGAATCCCTTTAAACTTAATGCGCTTGGAGTTTGTGCTATTAGTACAAATAAACATAACTGATTATTTAGACGTAGCTAGCTAGCAATTTTACGGTGAAAAAGCAAGGTAAGTTATCGGATAAGATCTATTTTTTTCAGGATTTCGGCCCTCATAATTCTAGACTTTTATTTTAACCAGTTATGGTATTAATCAGTACTGCTTTATCATCTTGTAGACAAGAAGTTATATTTATTTGCTCTGGTCAAAAGTGTTGTTGTATGCCAATGGTAGCTTGTTGGTTCCCTTACTCGCTGTTATGATTTATGTAAAAAGACAATCAATAATATCAATCGTGTAAGCACATGGAAATACAATACCAGTCAAAAGTTTGGACACACCTACAAGGGTTTTTCTTTATTTTTACAATTTTCTACATTGTAGAATAATAGCGAAGACATCAAAACTATGAAATAACACATATGGAATCATGTAGTAACCCAAAAAGT